TATAAATATTTTTAATTCTACATTTTATTAGTTTTCCTTTTAAATTCTATTCCACTTCTAAAATTTAAATTTTTTGTTTTTTGTTTAGTCTTCCGCTGAGATTTTGGGTGAATTTTGTGAAAAATCCAGATTTTGTGTTGGATGTGCACAAAACTCCATTATTGGATTCCTGTCTGTCTGTGGTAGCCCAAACTTTGATGGATGCATGCTCAACATCAGAACATAGACTTGGGAAAGTAAGGTTCAAGTAGTAACTTCATAGTGTTAGGAGAATGAGGTTTGAATAGTAACTTCAGAAGTGTGTATACATATAGATGTGGGAAGGTAAGATGTTTGTAGTATTTCCTTCAGGAATCTAATCTCTCCAAGGTAAGCTCCCATCATTAATATTTTCCATATACAGACTTAGGATGGTAGTAACTTAGTAGTAACATTCTTAAGAACAGAGCTTTAGGAAGCTTTGGAACAGAAAGTTAAGGACCATGAACTAACATTCTTCAAGACAGAAAATTAAGGTCTTAATAGAAATATTCTTTAGGACATAGCCTGATGAGAGGTTCCCAGTAGAAATATCCTTCAGAACATAGCTTCAGAAAATTATGGATCCAGTAGTAAGTGTTGTTCAGGGCATAGTTGCAGAAAGTCACCGTAGGTCATAACAACAGAATCCCTTGTTATGCATGCTGAATTAAAAATGGTCAATAACTTATTTAAAACTATGTTATTTCTGACTTTCCTCAAATTCTATGCTACGTTCTCTTTAACTTTCTGCTTTTTAGAACTGGTCATCTTTGATTTGTTCTCTTGAAAAGCCCACCCCCCATCTCTTCCCTCTCTCTGTCAAAGCTGGCCTTTGGATGGACTTGCTTTAACAAGCTCATCCACATATACTTTAGTAGATTGAAACAGGTTACACAGGCATTTTTTTCTAATTTTTTTGGGAAATACAATTTTGTTTTAATTAAAAGATAGAACATTAACAGTTTTTGTTATTTGTCATGCATTCTTTAATAGGGATATTAGGAAAATATATTTTACAATATAACATAATAATTACAGATCATGGTAAGTGTCTTTATCCTTGCCTTAGGTAATCTAACACAAACAAACCTAACCATTCCATCTTTTAAATTTATAATTTTATTAAACTCTAACAAAGTTATACTGAGTCAATTGTTTTCTACGGTGAAGTCAATGTTTAAATTGTATAATCAATATAAATCTCATAAATAGCATGACCAATCCAAAATATAAATAAGTTTCTTGACCATAGACATTTGTACTCCAATGTAAACCCAAGCATTTGATCTTTCACATTTTTAATTTTATTCAACTCCACCAAATATTCTGTTGGGTCATTTGTTTAACTTGATGTGGTCATTGATTCTGTATAGATAACTTAATTAACACAATCACTATAGGTTTTAAATAACTTTCTTTATCCTAACCTTACATATTCCATTGGTCTAATCCCCTCCCCCTCCTTTCCTTACCTTAAACGATTAAGCAGATTTTCTTAGCAAGGTCACCTCAAATGCTATGGTGGATTGAGATGAGTAGAGCTAGAGACCAGATACACTAATGGTATAGTATTCACACAGACTGTGTTATTATTTTGTGAACATTTAGCTGGAACTTGTCACATGCTAAATAAGATATGTTTTATATGTTTGTGTAATTTAAATTATTAAACTTAAATAATTCAATATGTATATTAGTTCTTTACCGTATTAGCTAGATTAATATATAACATTAAATTTCGTAAATAATAGTAACTACATTAGCTAAATGTGATAGGTAAGGTACATGAAACTTTACATGTGACAATTCTGCTTTGTTATTTGATAATATTGTTAAACAGGCCCAACCTTGTCAAGTGTTCCTAGGTTAAGGACCAAAAACACTGTTAGTAATGAGAATAATCAACTGATGATTTTGGTCAGAGTGGTCATAGAAACTGTTTGTAGTTTATTTGCTACCCATAATTAAGACTATTTAGTGTTAATTGTAATTAAAATTGTAGAGTTTTAGCAAAAGTTAATACACAACAGAAATAGTGAAAACGTTTATTAGAATTATTACTTTAAGTTGGAATGTATCATTTACTGTTATGTTCAAATACAAGGATTGCCCTAGTTTTCAAGTATGGGATAAAACTATGATAAATAACTAACTTTCTGTTTGCTGGTGGCTTAGTGGTACATTGAAAGGTTTCTAACATTAAAATTCATGGTTTATTTCCTACAGTGAACTCTGAAAGCCTTTTGTATAGTTTTATGCTTAACAACAAATAACAAAATGTTTCTTGAAATTCAACCACATAGTTTTCCTACTTGTTAATCAAGTTGTTTGTTTCGATGGGGAGTGTTTTTTTCAGTAACTATATGAATGAAGTTTGGTAATGTTATTCCCAGTAATTAATAAAATTGTATTTTTCATAAACAGCAATTTTCCAGTGACTCGTGAAGTTAGTTTATTGATAGGAAAGTAGTAAATAATAAACTATTTTTCCAGTGAAAAATGGTTTTTTTCTCATAACCAAATTTTTTATTTTTAATTGACTAATCTATTTTTTTGATTGATAATTTTATACTTTCAATTTGATTACTCAAATCAAGAAAGTGTCATTAATCATTGAATCTATTCAAGAAAAATATTGCAGTATGAAAATTTTTTCTTTTCTCGTACAGGATTCTCCTTCTAACAAACTATTGTTTGCTCGAGATATCCCAGCTTACAAGAAAGTTGTGGTGAAATATTACCAGGATATAAGTGCACTGCCAGTCGTGTGTGATCAAGAAATGAATGCCAGAATGCACCACTTGTCTTCGGTAAATCCAAAAAACAAAGCATATCATTTAAATTTAATCCTCTTTATTAACTGATTTTGTACTATGAACTTGTAATCTAAAAAACCAAGTTCTAGAATTAGTTCTAAACTTTAAGTAAGACTTCGAATACGATTTTGATGAAAATATAATTAATTTTTGGTAAATATAAATATGTAGATGTTTAAGTTCTGACTGAAGCTTAAGAGTTATTAAACAATTTTAATAACACATTTTCTCTAGACCTTGTCAAACTTATAAGATACATCTGAGAAATGTCTTTACTTGAAGTAATTTAGAGGGTGAGTCATAGCAAACCCTTTAATAAAAATACTAAGTGTAATAATTCTTTAATACTTCATGTAACTTTATGCACACAGGCACTGATTCAGTGATAGTATAAATACGGCATAATCATAGATAAGGGTTTTTTTTATGTTACTTGTTGAGTTTAGACATTTACATTAATTCTTTCAGTCTCCAGTTTTATAAGAACTTGACAAAGCTGTAATTGTGATTCAAAATTTATTATTTTATCCCAGGGAATTTTGAATGATGTGAAGCTAACATCAGGTGATATTTTTGAATTACCAGAATGTTGGAAATTTTCAGTCTTACTGCATTATTTTGGTCATACTGTGTTTGGCTTGATTAATTACTAGTGCGTTATTCGGCTTGTAAAATATTAATTAGCTACAGTAAAGTAAGTGAGAAGTCTGATATCATGGACTGATTTATGGTTTGGAAACAGTTTGGACTAAGAATAACTAAATGTTTAAGAATTGCCAGTTTAAAAATACATAAAGTAAAAGTAGGATAGTGTTAAGTTATAAAGTTCTTTAAATTCTACATATAAAAACCTAAAGGTTACTGATTACTGTCACTAATCATCTCAACTTTTGTTTATATGAGTGATAACTCTAGTTATAATAATTAAAATGTGACAACAAGATTGAGTGTCACTTTTAAGTATCAGCAACGGTTTATTGTGAGCAGTTCTGTATAATAAACAAAAAACAGTTTGATGTTATGTCATTTTAAGTGAATGAAATATGTGCATGCCTTAAAGAAAGAAAGATCTAGTGATGAGATGTTGTCAGTGCAAAAAAGAAAATCTTTATGGAGTTTTGGTTTGGATACAATATGGCCAAAGAGAAGAATAGAATTAGTGTCCCTGAGTGGTTCATATAAAGTTTTCTGTAACAAAACTATTGGTAGGATTTTATTATCATTGTACTTTTAAATATTTTACAAATATAAGAAAGTTTTGATCCAACCTCATTTACTTTTTTATGTTTTTAGCTATTTGTTTTCTCTTGACTTTCATCAGTATAAAAAATATGATTGATACTTGATTTTGTTTAGAAATATCTACAACAAAAAATGTATGAATTATTCTTTCTGTCTCAGGCCCACACAGGAGAGTTTGATACTTTGGTCGCCCTTAAAGAATTATATGTTTATGCTGCCAAGTACAGTGCTGAGGTGAGACATGACTGTTAATTATAAATACCTGGGAATCGATTGTTCTGGAAAAACTACTGAGCAACTAATATGTATAAAATATAATGTAACATTTCCTTCCTTGCACGTGATGGAAATTTTACTTATCAGTATTATGTGTAATCCTCAGATGTCATCAGAATTTAGTTGATCATGTCAATAATAAAAAAGATTCATGTCTTCTTAAACTTTCAAGTTCTCATATACAGTTGCATTTCTTTCACAGTTTCAAGAGGCTCTAGAAGATGATCCCTGTTGCCAACGATCCCACTTGGCTCACAAGTTCGACACAGTTGCATGCACTTTAGAAGGAGAAGAAACTTCTGTCTGTTGAGTAGCTCTTTAAATGAATGGTGCCAAAAAACTACACTTTTACAGTGCTGTTGAAGCAGAATAACTAATTCCATTATAAATTGTTAAACGATGGTCCAGTACTCCAAACAGGAGAGCAACGAAATTCTCCAAGTAAAATGCAGATGAAAGTGTGAATCATTAGTGTTTTAGAAAATGATAGCTGCATTCTTGGTTGTTAAAGAAAAACATTTTGAAAACTGAAAGGAAACTTGAGTTACTGTGTTTATGTATGTAATAGTTTTATAATTTTAAAAAGTGGGTGATTGTGGCTAGCATACTATTGGTGCTTAGTCATCAATACCAGCTATGCAACTTGAAGTACACACAGTTTCTGTAGGATGAAAAATCTTATATGATTTTTATAAAGAATCTTGTCATTCCAAGGACTTCGAGGAAGTTCAAGCCAAAGATGTGATCACCCTTGCTTGTCGTAATAGAGAAAATTGCTGTACTGTGTGCAACATTTTGAAAGTACGACTTGTAAAAAGAATAACTTTTAGACACTGTCAGTGCCTGTACAAAAAAAAATAAAAAATAACAGGGTTCAAAAACTTGTGTATAGGAAATTTTTCCAACATCAAAGTGAATGTTGTTGGTTGAATTATTGTAGTGACTTATACTTATAACATAGCTGTTATGTTAATGCTGTTTATATTATTTTCCTTCTCTACATTGCAGCTTAATGTAGTGGAACCTCTGATTTTACATTTACCTTTATTATTATTATTATTGAAGTCAGAGTTGGTGCTTGTATGAAGTAGATTTGCAACCTGTGGTCAAGGGAGCTTCGTATGACACAAAGTTGTACAGGTTAGGTTTTATGCGTTTAATGCTGCTGCCCGACTGTGATATTGTAAACTCCCTGTAATGTATTTATGTTGTATGAAACTGTTAGTTGGCAGAAGTATGGAAAATGTATGTTTTCTGGTCAGTTTTAGTATGAATGTTTCTAATAACCTTTTTACAAAATTTTTTATAATTATTTAAAGTAATAATATGTGAAGTGCCAGTTTTTGGTAATTTGAAGTATGAAAAATAATTGTGGCAATCAAAATGTCGTTTTAGTATTTCTGGAGAAAAAAAAAAGATTAAAAACATTTTTAATTTCTTAAAAATGACAGAATTAACTTGAACTCTTGTTTTGAGTATCTGGCATAGTCCCATTCTTGGTAAGAATTTTTTTAAGTAACTTAATAACAAGGTCCTGAAAGACATTTTTGTTTTTAATTAGAGTGCTAAGAATTTTTGCCAAAAAAGTTTTACATAACAGAATATTTAACTTGTCCCAAATTGTGGGAAAGGAGTGTCATTGTGCTTTACGGATATGAAAAGAAAATTTCTTAATTTAGTGAAGTATAAATGTCATCATTAGACACCATCAGTGCCACAATAATGTATTTGTAGTCTTAAACAGATATATTAAATGGCATAATATCTATTGGTTAAATAATGTGCTGTGTTGTGTAGATGATTGCTTTCTTTTTCTTTTAATCCAGAAGCTTTCAATAAAGTCCCACTCGAACGGAAAAACATTTCTGTTCAAGTTAATTATTTTTGATACAATTTCACCCTGTACCAGCTCAGAAACTAAATAAAGTGTTGATAAAACAATCAAGATTTTGGCATACAATTGTGTCATCATGTACCATGTTGGAATGTGAGGTGATATTTTTTAGTCTATCATTTGAATGTGTATTTATTGTTTGATATTATGAGCCACCTGTAACATATGCATACTATTATTGTATTTGGAGCAAAGCCACATATATTGCATTTCATACTTAAAGGAAATTTATATTGCTACCAGAATTTTGGGGTAGCTTTAAGCTAATTAACGACCTTATTAATTGTATGGATAGCTGTTGCTTTCCACAAACAAATGTCTATTTCAATTAAAGTTTTACCACTTATTGATTTAAAAACTAGTTACATCAGAAGAAAGCTTAGCCTTATTTCTGTCAGATTGCTTATTTTTGTCGAGACACCTTTTATAAAGGTACGAGATATATATCAGATATTTCAGTGCCCCCCCCCAAAAAAATGTAGAGTTCAAAATTTTTTACTGCATTCTCTTTTCAAAAATGGTAAGTTGGGTAGTTTGTCTTCAGTTCATAAAGTTAATAGTAAATTTTGGGATCTGTATTAGAAAATATTGCTCTTTCAAATAATACATTAAGAACTTGTGTCATTAAGAATATTGGTAATCATTTTAAATGTCATTTTATTTTGCAAAAGCAAGTTCTTTAATATTCCATATGCACTGTACAAAGACAAAAAGATAGCCATGTGAAATAACTCATTGTAAACATATTTTTAAAGGGATTTTTGCTAAATGGGATGCTTTATTCCATATGGACCTTTTTGGGTTTGGTTTTTAGTTGTTGTGTTCTAACATTTAAATTTTGCACCACCATGGTCCAATGCAGTGTTGATAGTGGGAAATTTAAACTTGGGACGGTACTGTTGCCTGACTCTAAAGACTGATGAAGACCCTTTCCAGATAGTACAGAAGTTATATTAATAAAGATTGTCCAAAGAGGATAGTTTGTGGTCATTGAAAGCCTTTAGTAGAAATCCCTTGGTCACAGCAAAACTGTCTGGCTTGGATTATACACAATTGAGTGCCAGTATTCTTGGTAGTTAAGTCATTCATGCCAAAGTTTGGAGATGACCTTGGGAGCATTAGCACAATGCTAATATTGCTGAACATGACCATTAAGGGAGTGGATCCATAGTGGTATGTGGGCAACATCAGCTTTAATAGCAAGACTAATCTGTGTTTCCCACCACAGGCTGTGCAGTATAAGGATGAGATCTTATAAAACATTTATGTGAGGCTGAACATGGACATCAACATTCTGTTTTAGTCCTTCCAGGAGCTGGGAGATGTCTTTTATGGAGGAGTGGGACCATCTGCCAAAGATCATCATCCAGAAGTTTATTAGGAACATGCATTCAAAAATGTCCTGTACTGAATAGTTAAGATGTTGCTAAATAGTGAATACACAATTATCACTTTACTATATCCACTTTGAAAAACGAGATCTAACAATTTTTGAGTTGTATATATATTATTGCTATGTTAAAGTATACATATGTGCCCATTTTTGTATGTATGTATACTGACATATATGTTTTTTGTAAATACATCTACATTTCACAAAGATTGCAAAAAGAAAATTTAAACCTCTTGGTGTATGAAGTGGTTTGACAGCAGCTTCTTTTTGGACTCTCTGAAAGGTGAGAATATACCAGCTATCTTTCCATCTTAAGTAAAATAAATAAAAGGATTAAACAAATTTTTGTTTTTCAATTATAATAATTCAGATTGTCTATCAGTATAAGTACACAAGTTAGTTTGCAAGTATAAAACACAAACAAAATTTAGAGTAAACAAATCTATTTTAAAATTCCTTGAAAATACTTATGTACTGCCATTCACTTCAAGAAGCAAAACGGGACCAGGCCAACAATACTTGCAGCCCTAAATTGTCTACGTTGCTTACGATTTCAGATTTAGAAAAAAAAAGATTTAAGTGATTGCCATGTTCACTTTGTGAAAAAATAATTTTGTCATCTGAGGAAGAATGCTGTAACTTCTATTTTTGTTATTGTAATGATAAACTTAAAAAAAATTCAGATTTAGAAAAAAAAAGATTTAAGTGATTGCCATGTTCACTTTGTGAAAAATAATTTTGTCATCTG